CCTCCAGGCTCAGCAGAGTGCGCACGGGCCCCGGCCCCACGGTCAGGCATACGGGAGGGCTCTCCAGGTCCCACGGGATGACTCCTGGGGGAAGAGGGGGGGAGCGGTCAGGACTGGGAGGGGCTCTCACCTTTCCTGTGGGCCCTCCCTCCTTCCAGCTGGATGGCGGCATTCCAGTCCACCTCGACTCTCACCATTTATGCCCCCTGCCCCCTGCCGCCCAGGACTTACTCCCCAGGCCTCCCCCACCCCTCCTGCCCTGGCCCTCTCCTCCTCATTTCTCTTGCCCCCACTTTTATTCGTTCATTCCACACACCTACTCCTTGTCAGGCCCACTGCATGCTGGGAAGGCACAAATGAACCAGACGCCGCCCCCACCCTCATGGAAACCCCCACTAGTCAGAGAAGCCAGGCAGTTACTCTGCAGTGACCATACAGTGTACCAGAGTGCAAATGCCAGGCATGCCCACGGGGCACGGGGGAAACTGGGGGGACAGGAGACTTCTTGGGAGAGGCGGCACCCACAGTAGGGCCGGCCAAGGAGGCCTTGGGTCAGACTCAGAGAGCTGGGGTTTGGCTGGGGTTCTGCCACCAACTCACTAAGGGCCTCTCCTCCTTTAAACCTCAGCTCCCCCATCTGTGAAACGGGGCCAGCGGGCTAATAAGCTTCATCTCTGCGGGCTGGCTTTCCTTGATGTCTTCTCACCCACGAGCGGGGGGCTTCACAGAGGCCGTGGGAAACGAAGTGGAAAGGTAGCAGAATTCCCCCGGGCGTGTTTCAGGCACCTGCACTGACTTCACGGGGACACTCCTGGGTCAGGGTGGGCAGGAGTCTGGGAGACGTGCCCCCTCTGTCCACCACCAGAACGCTCTCTACCCACTTATGCCCCAGCCCTGAGCTGAGCAGTGGACTCTGGATCTCACACCCAGTGCCCCACCTTGCCTTGCCAGGGTGGGGGCCTGGGGAGGGGGCTTGGGCTGGCCTAAGGCACTCCCCAGAGAGGGAGGGGCAGCCCCTTGCAGGCCCTCCTCCCCGGAGCCACCTGCTGAGGCTGGGGGAGCCACTGGGGATGAGACGGAAGCTGCTCCCTGGAGGCTGGGCAGACCTATCCCACCCCAGCATGGTCCCAGAACTCCCGGTCTCCCCACTCTCCTTGGCCTGTACAACAGCGTCCCCTCTTGTGCTTCTGCCCCTGGAGATTCAGGCTCCTAGGGCAGCTAAGAGGCAGGAGATAGAAGCAGCGCCCACATCCACCCTCTGAGCCCAGAAACATGGCCCGCTCATTCTAGCCCATGAGCATGAGCAGGGAAGGAGCAGGCTGGCCCCGAACCCCGGCGGTGGCTTCTGGGCCACATACACTTGGACTCGGGACTGCCCCTCTCTGAGCCTCTGTTTTCTCCTCTGTAAAGCAGACATACATGTGCCTACACCCCACGGGTATCGCAGGACTGAAGGAGACGTTATGTAGGGGCTCTGAGCCCAGTGCTGACACCCGGTGGCGAGAGGTGGGAGCTACTGGGACAGAGCATTCTATAGGGTGGGTGCCAAACGACCCCCAGGCCCATGTGGTCCGTGGCATTATCATGCCCCCTCTACCAGCCAGCAAAGGGAGACGCAGAGACCTTCAGCAAGGAGCCCCAGATCACAGGGCTGCGAAGCCCCCGCGCTCATTAGCTCACATTGTTTGGTATCATTTACGGCAACAGGCTGTGGAAGCAGGTGTTAACTCCACTTGACTAATGTAACAACAGACCCAGGGAGCTGACGACTAGTGTACACAGGCCAGGCGGGGCTCAAACTCAGCTCTGCTGACTTTGGGACAGGCCTCCTTCCCCAGCCCCACTACCCAATCAGCTTCTAGGTCTCCAA